TCTGTCACACAGGAGGCTGATTCTAGTCACAGATTGAGATCCCAAGCTATAAGGAGCCTGCCCTGGACTTTATTGGATGTCATCAGTTTTAATAGTTAAGAGGTCCATATTTTCATTTTCTAATTGGGTATCTTTGTGCTGCATTCATTTAATTTGCCTTGCACTATTTTCCCTCCAGAGAGTAGACTTTTATTATAACTTGGAAATTTAAAAAATTTTTTATACCAACTAAATCCTTTGAAAGTACAGCAAGGTATGGATAAATTAACAAAAATGCCCTTTACAGAAAAGATGGTATCAAATGTAGTAGGCACAAATATATGTGATTCTGCTTTGTTGGTATTTTTGTGAAACCAGTCTTTCAGCCTAAACACTTCTCCCATTTCTGCAACACCCAAGAGTACAAGACTGTAAACAGAGAGAGCATTGTTGTTACTGTTTACTCTGACTCACAGTCTGCCCTAGCCTTCTGATCCTTGCTCCTTCTAAAGGGTCAGAGGTCTACAGCAGGCCTGGACCTAAGGATGCTCTTCAATTATCCATAGTAGTTGAGGATAAAGCCAAAGGGCTGGACTTCTCTTACTAAGAAAGCTGTAAGTGGGATCTTCTACACTGAAAGTTAATTTTTGTATTTTAGTCATTCCAAGAACATAAGAAATTCAGAATTAATGGAAACAAACTGTAGTGATAGCCTGAAAATGATTTCTGCATCTGTCACAGATGTTCCCATGTCAGAGTTTACTCTGCTTTTCTGTACAAAAAACTCTGGATGATTTATGCACCTAAAGGCGTATCTTAGCAATGGTTGTGAAGGAAATGTACTTAGAAACTTCTAGGCTTTGTCTAGAAAGGAGATTCAAAGTAGAGGTTAAATGCGACATAGCAAGTTCTCTAAAATGCAGCTGATATATAGTTGTACTAATGTTAAGGAGAAAAAAAATAATTTGTCTTTCTAATTGTTGTAGTAGATTTGTTTACTCTTTTAAAATACACATCTTGTGATCATTTTATAAGATACATAAATGTTGAGTCCCTATGTTGTACACCTGAAACTAGTATAATATTGTATGTCAGCTATAATTAAAAATAAATTTAAACTTTAAAAAATGAACAACACATTCCCCATGTATTTATAATCCATGGTAAGGATAATAAATACAGTTTCTAAGAGTGTCTGGATTTGGCAAGCAGTGTTAGGATTCTTTAAAAGTTGTTTGGGATTTTAAAAATGTAAGAAAAATGTTCTCTGTTTCTTATACATTTCTGCTTGTCAATAAAAGTAGTGCTTTCTGAAAAATCTACTTTTTAACTTTTAACTTGAAATAATTATAAATATACAAGAGGTTGCCAAGAAATGTACAGGAACATCTCCTGCACTCCTCTCCCTAACTCATGAAAAATCTATTTTGACTATTAGTTTCCCTATGAAAAGAAGAAATGAGCTTCAGGATTGAACTGGAAAATGGGCTGCTTCAGATCTAGCCCAAAGGCATAGTGGAGACCCCAATCCTGGACCCCAGTAACGCTTCCTTGTTTCATTTGCACAGAAACGGGCGATGCACTGTATTTCTATCCACTCAACTCTGCTCTTAATATATTCCCTCACTCTCCATCTCATGTTCAGAGTGACTAGGCTTAGGGTAGGGGTGAAGTGAGTCTCGAATGTGTATTGTGTGATTGAGCAAGAAGGCCTTAGGTTTTGCTCTCTACTCCAATACTCCAGCCCTTTCTAGAACAGGTGACTTTTCCCCCCGTCTTATTTGAATTAAGGACTTCTAGTCCACATGAAGTAGAGGCAGGTAGTCAATTTAAAATCACATATAAGAAAAAAGTCAGTGTTTTATGAGATGAAGATATATGAAAGTTTATTTTTCATATGTTTTAAGTAAGCACACAGAGTTATGTTAAAGAAGCATACAGATATTCAAATTGTACTTTAATTCTATGTTTTGTCTGGTTGAGGAGGGAGATAAAAGAGAAGTAAATCTCAGATGCCGAAGGAAAAAAAAAGACAAAGAGGAATGAAGGAGAGAGCTTATTGCCCTTAGTTCAGAGGTAGAATTTCTAGGAGGATTTTGAGTTTTAGATGAATTTTTGTCCCATTTGGACAGTTTCAGCACCATCTCTCATCACTGTCTTTTGAAATGATAATTGATTAGCCATTCATCCTAGTTTCTCAGAATGCAGTAGGTATCCTAGTGTCACCCAATGGGATAGCCACAAGCACACCAAGAAGAGATCCTTTCCTAGGCTGCTAAAGCAGAAATTCAGCTCTGTATTGTGACCTCCCAAGTCAAAAGTGCCTCAGCCTGACAAAGAAACTTAAGTAAACAAGGAAACAGACCAGTGTGAGGTATAACAGCAAACTGCTTATCAGTTTCCTTATGAAAGTCCTTTATCTTCATGCAGATACAATAAGTACTATGGGCCGTTTACCAGCTTTGGCTACAACCCTTCCTTCATTGCCAGTCTTCACCGCCTGCCTTCCACTTCAGCAGCCTGTGCAATGTGCAGGCTTCTTCACTGTCACTGGAAGAGTTAACTGCAGGATTTGTACAGCCAAGTTTTCTCAGTTCTTTGTCTTCCTTCTGGCTACACTTGATTCTCCCTGCAGCCCCCAAGCCTGTTTGTCGAATGGTTAGCTACTTGAACATTGCTATCATTAACATCCTCACCCTACCACTGCAAAGATCTGAGTACGAACTCAGATCTGCAGCATGGACATCACCTGGGAGGTTGTTAGAAATGCAGAATCACAGGCTTGGTCTGAGACCTTCTGAATCAGAATCTGCACATTAGCACAATCCCCTGATGATTCTCATATGTACATTAACGTTTTAGAAGCACTGTTGGCCTCTCTGGCTCTCATCCTTTTTTTTGCCACTTCACCTGCCAGAAACCACACTTAAATCTCCTTGAGACTCAGGTTCCTTTATAATCTTCATATATAGGTTTTTAAAATTTCCTAATATACTCCAAGAATAGCTCCTCAGACCCCCTTGCACACATCATCTCTTTATTCTCATTTTTTTACTCCTCCCATTCCTATTTGCTCTCTCTCTAACTTTCCAGAGATCAGATGATCTTCCTGTGCTATTTTTTTTCCTTCTATGCCTCAGTATATTTTCTGTCTTCTGCCACCTTCAGTTTTTTTCTCAAGTCTTAAATGAGGTATTATCTTCCTCATTTCTAGAGTAGTTCTTCTACCTGTATCCTTTATACATTTTACCTTTCCCCTTTGGGATCTTGCTGTCTTACTGGTCTTCTCTCTCCCAGTATCGTTTCTATCATTGCCACTAAGCCCTTCCTTTTGACATCCAAATGTATAGAGATCTTTTAAGAAAATCACCATATATTCACATTCACTTGATCCTGTTCCTTTCTGATTTGTGTTCTATTTCTCTTCTTTCATTGTGGTTTACAGTTGGCGTTGTTTTCCTCCCTTCATCCCGAGCATTTGACAATAGAGACATTTTTGGTTGCTGCACCTGTGGGGGATGCTGCTGGCATTAGTGGGTAGAGACCAAGGACACTACTATAAACTTCCTACAATACAGAAGACAGACCTGCACAACAACTAATTATCTGGCTAGGGTGACCAGCCATCCCTGTTTGCCTTTGACTTCCTCAGGTATAGCACTGAAAATCCTGTATCCCAGGAAACCCCTCAGTTCTGGGTGTACTATAATGCTTGGTCACCCTATATCTGGCCCAAAATGTTAAAAGTGCTGAAGCTGAGAAACCCTGCCCCTTCAAACCTATATATGAAGATTATAAGAAGGAAGATCCATTAACTTTTTTACTCACCAGCTTCCTTCCCTTGATCCTGAATTTGTGTTCTTTTCTATGGAAACAGTTCTCTTGAAAGTCCCCATTGGTCATCTTTCAATCAAGAAATCCAATGGTCCTTTCTCTTCCTCTTCAACCATTTTGATCTCTTTCAAGCATTTGATGCTGTTGCTTTGCTATTCACTTTGAAGTGTTTTTTTCTTCTTATATTCTTGATTCTCTCCCTTCTACCCTCATTACTATGCTTTATCTCTTTCATGGTGTCCTATTTCTACTCTCTTAAATGTAGGTAGTCCCTTAGTTAAGTGTTCTTTGGCTCTTTTCTTTACTCTCATGTTAAATAATTGATTACAGTCTTTGGCTTCAAATCTTATCTCTATTAGTTGATTCCTAAACCTCTTTCCTGAGTCCCAGTCTTTTATTTCCAATTAATTGAGGGGTTCCCTTGGATGTCCAGCAGATCTGAAACTTAACCTGAGTAATGGCAGGTTAAGAAGAACATTCATAAGTTGGCAAAGAGGAAAGACCGTATGGTTTAACTTATATTTCCAGCCCTATCTTCCACTTTGTTCTGAAATACTCCTTAAACTCTCTCTAACCGGGATAACTCTATCCATTCTTTTACATACCTTGTGTTTTCCTCTTTCCATCGTTTTGCTCATGTCTTCTTGCTAATTGGAAAACACTTCTGCCCTTTTCTTTTTCAAATCTTCCTAATTCCAATTAGGATAGTGTGGAATGATGAAAATATTGTAATAGGTGTCAGAAGGCCTATTTCTGTTACTTTACTTGCTTTTAGACCTTGGGACAATTACTTGAGCTTTCTATGGCTATATTTAAATAAAGAAATAATAATCTCATTCGTGCCTGTCTCGGATAGCTGATATGAAAAAAATGCTTTGAAATATGTGAATTATTATTGAACTCTGATAGCAGTTTGTGCCTTTCATATGGAAACTTTTTCTTGTGGTGACAAATACTACAAGCTTCTTAGAAGTAGGGACTATAATGTAAATCCTTTTCTTCTACAGTCTCTTATTGTGTTTGTCATGTTAAAAGAGTCTGAGTAAAGACTGATGAAAAAATAGCAGTTTCACCTGCTATTCAGTCTTTATAACTATTCTTGATTCTCTAATTCCAAGTATTTTACACTATATCAAATTTATCACCTTTCCTTTTTTTTTTTTTTTTAATTTCCAATTCCAATTTAGGTGATGTCTTTCCAGTGCAAATGAATCCAATAGCCCAAGCTCAGTTTATACCTTTGGCCGAAGTTCTTTGCTGTGCTATATCCGATATGAATGCTGCTCAGATTGTAGTAACACAGGAATCACTATTGGAGCATTTGATGAAACATTACCCAGGTAGAGTAACAAGTTTTTCTCTGTTAGTTCATTGCATGTGTTTGTTTTCTATTTATAAATCATCTTAAACACAGATAAACTGGGCGATATCCAATTTTTTTCTATTATAGAACCTTATATTAGAGCCCTGCCAAGAAAAGGCCTACATCAGCAAATTTGATAAGGGTATTTTTTTTACTTTCCAATTAACTTTTTCAAAAATAACACTCATGGCAATAAATAAATGAGACTCTGTAGAAAGGAGTACAAAGCAAAAAAGGAAAAGTTTATCTTCTCCCCTCACCTCTTTGTATTGTTTATAATAGTTTCTTATGTATACATTCATAAATTGTGCTTGAGGATATGTATCCTTTTTAATATAACAAATTGGATCATTCTATAATTCCCTTTGTGCTTTTTTTTTAACTTAAAAACATTTCGTAGATATTTACGTATCAGCATATATTGATCTATCTCATTATTTGCATAGCTGCATGATATTACAATGTGTGAAAGTAGGAGAATATTTTTTTAATTTTTCTCATTATAAAATGAATATGCTTATTATAGAAAAATCCAGGAAATTTAGAAAAGTAACCACTTACAGTATCGCCACTCAAGGGAAATCAGATGGCAACATATTGATGTATTTTCTTCCAATGCTATACAAACATTTTGAACATTGTTTTTATGATATAATTTTGAACCCTGCTATTTGGGAAAGGGAATTTCTTTTAAAATTCTTACTTTCCCAGTTTGGAAAACCACCGTAATCCAGATTTTAGGTAGTTTGCCCTCACCCAAGCACACACTGGTTTTCATTTTCTCTTTAGATTCTTATTGAGATTTAAGCTATGAGATTGGTTTTCAAATTCTCCCATGTTTGCTCTCAAAAATACTTTCCTTAGGCAAAATTTAAATTTATAATGGAGTTGCGTAACTAATGTTTGTATTTGAATGAACTCAGATTATTTCTCTCTACTGAACTATTAGCCTAGCCATATGTCTTTGTGTGGACCAAATTATATTCCTGTTATTCAGTTAAATTATGATCATCATTAATGCTCTGGCATTTTAATTACATATATTATAATTAACTCTGGGTTGATCAAGCAAATGTGTGGTCATTTCTGAATTACTGATTTCACTCATTAAAATGTTTCTCATTCAAAATACCACTGTAATATGCTTGTTTGTTTTAGGCATTGCAATTCCACCTCAGGATATTCTCTATACCACTTTGGGAACTCTGATTAAAGAAAGAAAGATTTATCACACTGGAGAAGGATATTTCATAGTTACTCCTCAGACTTACTTCATCACAAATACAACCCCCAAAGGCAGTAAGAGAGTCCGAGCAGATGAAAGTCGTGCAGCGCCAACTTGCATCACGTATCTGGTGAGCATGGAGAGCTGTGCAGAGTTAGCCAAAGAAAATGCTGCCCCTGTTTCCCATTGTCAGTCTTGCCAGTGTTTCCCTGATGCGTGCACTCAGGATCTACAGGAGCCACCAGCTGCTGCAGAATTGACTAGAAAAGGCCAGAAAGGCCTTGGGGAATCCAAATTTTTGATACAGAATCGAGCAGCTTCAGTGTCTGAGGAGAATCACATCTTGGAGAGCACCAAACCTTCGCCATGCACAAAAAACAGAGATAAAGGCAAGAAGTTTGGCTTTAGCCTGTTCTGGCGCAGTATATCCAGAAAGGAGAAGACCAGAACAGAGCACAGCAGTTTCTCTGCCCAGTTCCCACCAGAAGAGTGGCCTGTCCGAGATGAAGATAACTTGGACAATATCCCTCGAGACGTTGAACATGAGATAATCAAACGAATTAATCCCATTCTGACTGTTGACAACTTAATCAAACATACCGTCTTAATGCAAAAATATGAAGAAAAGAAAAATTATAATAGCCAGGGCACTTCCACTGATATGCTGACAGTCAGGCATAAATATCCTTTAAAAAAGGGAGTTAAGAAAAGGCATGGTCGTTGTGCAAAGCCTCGAAGGCGGGGACATTCTCATAGGGATAGACACAAAGCCAGGAGTCAGGGAAGTGAGCCTCAGGCAGGAAGCATTACACTGGAGAAATACCCCAAGCTCCCTGCTACACAGCCCATCCCCAGAATTAAAAATCCAAATAAAGCAGTAGTTCAGAAACCACACGATGAGAACCCATTAGAGCTAGGTTTGATTTACAAAAAGCAAATCAGTAATCCTTTCCAGGGTTTATCTCACCGTGGGAACCCAATTACCAGAGAGCACAATACCCAGAAGACCATTGATCTGAAACCTAGTCAGATTGGACCAAAGGGAAAGCCTTTCCAAAGGTCAAGGTCTTTGGATTCCTCACGAATCTTTGAGAGGGAAGATGAGCAGCCATTTGCTGGACAATGTAAGGATAAACTGAGGGCAGAATCCATTTATATGGCTAACTCTACTGTCAAGCCTATCAGTGACTTTAGAGATCACCTCTTAAATTACTCTCAATATAGTGTTTCGCAAAATGATAGTAAATGCTGTTCCTTTAGGGAAAGCATGTTGACATATGATGTGTATGGTGGAGAAAACGAGGTAATCCCTGAAGTCTTGAGGAAAAGTTATTCTCACTTTGACACATTAGGGGAGGCAAAAGAAACACAGCATGTCCTGCCATCACTGGGTTCCTCTTCTGTAGACCAAGCATCCTCTGCTTATAGATTAGTTGACAAAACAATACACCAGTTTCAAAATCTTAGTCTTTTGAATTATCCAGTTGGTGCAAACCTTTTGAGACAAGACAGAGACTCAGAGGAAACACCCATGAGAAAGGCTTTTGTCCAGGAAGCGGAGACTTTGAGTCTAGAAAATGAAGTGCTTTCTGATGATGGCCAAACTTTGTATCAGAATAAAGTGGAAAATGATGATGGTGCCTGCAGTTCATTATATCTAGATGAGGATGACTTTTCTGAGAATGATGATTTATGTCAGATGCTGCCTAGCCACATTCAGTGTTCCTTTATAGGGAGAAGCGAGTGGAATCATTTAGGAAAACAAAAGGTGACTGAAAGATCTCTGACTGAGTACAACAGCAAAGTACATAGATTTGAGCCTCAGGTGCTTAAAGGAAATGAAGGTTACAAACCCTCTGGGTTCCTCACTAACTTAGGTGAAAGCCAGAAACCTAATCTCTCTGCTGAAAGCTGTGGCCCCAATTCAGGAATCCGGTCTGGTTTGAACTGTGAAGAGGAACCCTGTGTCACTGAATGTGTGCAGTCCTCGGCATCTGTAGATGGAAGTATATTTGATTACTATAGCACAAGGAAAGCCAATTCTGAGGCTGAAACCCCACAAGGCTCTTTTGGTGACGCAGGAAAGAAACCAGCCAGCTGGAGTCAGAGTGCTCAGAATCAGGAAATGAGAAAACAATTTACACAAAAGTTAGAACTTTTCAACTCTTCACATATGCCAGTGGTGGCTCAGGATATCCAACATGAACACAGTCACTTGGAAGGAACAGAAAATCATAGTATGGCAGGAGATAGTGGAATAGATTCTCCACGGTAAGTGCACATAAAAGCATTTGATTAGTCTGTATCTCATGGGAATTATTAAAGTTAAGAGCACATTGAGTTACTTAGTGGGAGACTCCTGAATAAACTTTTTTTAATGATACAATTCTGCCACCCTTTACTGAATAAATTGTGTAAAGTTACAATGAAATTTCTTGTGTAATAGGATAGAGTTCATTTTTAATGTGAGCCAAATTTGACTGTTCTACTACTACTAAATCTTGAATTATTTCTAAAAATAGGAACTGCTAAAAACCAAGCATTTCCTGAACTTAGGGTTGGAAGTTTTCACTTGTATTCCTAGTTCTGCATAGGTTGAGAAAGAGATGCTGCTACTTTCCACTAGTATTTTCCAGGCTAATTTGTTTAAATAACATTGTTCAGATTATAAAAATAATATGGTCATAATAGAACATTTGAGAAGTACTGAAACTGAAAAGTATTTCTAAAAAATATAATCACCCAGTCTACGGCCATGCCACCCTGAACAAGTCCAATCCCATCTGATCTCGGAAGCTAAGCAGGGTTGGGCCTGGTTAGTACTTGGATGGGAGACCACCTAA